TTCCCTTCCCTTCCCTTCCCTTCCCTTCCCTTCCCTTCCCTTCCCTTTTTTTCCCCACAGTGATGGATGTGGAGACACTTCTGCGCCTCCCAGGGAAGAATTTCTTCCCAAAATCCAACTTAAACCCGGATTTCAGAAATAATTTCTTCCCAAAATCCAACTTAAACCCGGATTTCAGGAATAATTTCTTCCCAAAATCCAACTTAAACCCGGATTTTCACGGGTTATTGCAGATCTTTTTCTCCCGCGAGCGGGACACATTCCCAGATTCCCCCTTATTAATCCGTAGGGAAAACAGGAATCACCTGATTGTTTTCCCTTCCCCCCGATCCCTGTCCCCGACTTAATCCATTTATGGGTTTATTTTCCACCTTTCCCTCGCTGTTCAAAGGTCTGGAGCGTTTCTGGGTCCAAAGATTACGAGCCCTGGGAAAAAAAAGTCCTTTCCTGGGAAAAAAAAAAAAAAAGGGCTTTAATTTAAAAAGGGAATTCCCCTGGAATTTCTGGCCGGGAGGAATCCTCGGAATTCCATCCCCTGGAACGTCTCCGGATGTTTTTCCATTTTTTCCCGCGGCAGGAGCGGGTGGACGCGGAGAGGAGAAGGGTCGTGTCCCAGATCCGGGAGCTGCGGCGGCTCCTGGAAGGGCAGGAGCGGCTCCTGCTGGACAGGCTGGAAAAGCTGGAGCGGGAGATCCTCGGGAAGCAGGAGGGGAACCTCGGGAGGCTCTCGGAGCAGATCTGCGGCGTCGCGGAGAGGATCCGGGAGCTGGAGGAGAAGTGTCGGCAGCCGCCCTGGGAGCTCCTGGAGGTGGGAGCCCGGGATTCCCGGGACACCCTGAGCCGAGGGAATCCCAAAGGGAACCCCGGGATCGAGACCCCCGAGCCGAGGGAATCCCAAATGGAACCCCGGGATCGAGACCCCCGAGCCGAGGGAATCCCAAATGGAACCCCAGGATCACGGGTTGGGTGGGAAGGGACCCCCTAGACTTCAACCCCACCGGGTCTCCCCGAGCCCTGCCCCAAAAACTCCCCATAAAATTCATCTTTTTGAGCTTTTCTCCTCAAATTATCCCCTTGGGAGACCCTTATGGAATCCCAAATGGAACCCCAGGATCCTGGTTTGGGTGGGAAGGGACCCCCCTAGACTTTAACCCCACTGAGTTTCCCCAAGTGCTTCCCCTAAAAATTCCCCATAAAATTATCTTTCCAGGCTTTTCTCCCCAAATTATCCCCTTGGGAGACCCTTGGCCTTCAGACCCCATTTAGGGAATCCCAAATGGATCCTAAGGGATCCTGGGTTGGGTGGGAAGGGACCCCCTGGACTTCAACCCCACTGGGTTTCCCCAAGTCCTGCCCCAAAAACTCCCTATAAAATTCATCTTTTGAAGTTTTCTCCCCAAATTATCCCCTTGGGAGACCCTTGACCACCAGCCCCCATTTAGGGAATCCTAAATGGATCCTAAGGGATCCTGGTTTGGGTGGGAAGGGACCCCCTGGACCACCACGGGTCTTCCACCCCGTTGGGTTTCCCCGAGTCCTGCCCCAAAAACTCCCCATAAAATTCATCTTTTGAAGTTTTCTCCCCAAATTATCCCCTTGGGAGACCCTTGGCCTTCAGACCCCATTTAGGGAATCCCAAATGGAACCCCAGGATCCTGGTTTGGGTGGGAAGGGACCCCCTAGACTTCAACCCCACCGGGTTTCCCCGAGTCCTGCCCCAAAAACTCCCCATAAAACGCATCTTTTGAAGCTTTTCTCCCCAAGTTTGGGATTTTAAAGGAGCAGAGGAGCTCGTTAGGAGCTCGTCAGCCCCGGGAACACCCTCCTGGCACATTAAAGGGGGGGTTGGTGACATGAAGGAGCCGTGACCTCGCCCAGGATGGCCCCAAACCCCTCATTTGGGCAGAGCAGAGCCCCGGGGTCACCCCCAGGCCCCCCCCGGGGCCTCTCCTGGTTGTTTCCACCCTGCCCTGACCTGATTTTCCGTCTCTCCTTCTCTCTTTTAGGGCAGCAGAGAAATCCTGAGCAGGTTTGTGGCTCCTCATCCGCCTCCATTCCACATTCCTGTTCTTTTCCCTGTGCTGGTGGACCCCAAAACCTGCCCAAAAACCCCCAAAAATCCGTGGCAGGGACGTGTAGGAGGCAACCAGGACACCCCAAAGGTCCAAGGAGGGTGGGGAAGGTCAACTCCTCCTCTGTGACCCCTGAAAACCTCCCTGTTCCTGCAGGGACGAGCTTATCCTGGGAAAAATAGGGATCCAACGGCTAAAAACCATGGATTTTAAGGGCTGAGGGGTCCAGCCGGGTGGGAGGGAGTCTGGAATTAGGGTTTTTTTCCAGGTTGGAGGAGGACAATGCCCAGGAACCAGAGGAGACACCCCCTGAGCCGGGGGAGCAGCTCCCGGGGCTGCCCCGGCACAACGGGACCCTCAGGGAGGTGCTGAGGACATTCCAAGGTAGGGAAGGACAGGGAAAGGGGTTGGAGGGACAGGGAAGGGGCTGGAGGGACAGGGAAGGGGCTGGAAGTGGGGCTGGAGGTGGGGTTGGGTCGGTGCCACCTCCAGAAACCATCTTCCGGAGGTGAAAATCCCAAATGTTTCCACGTGGGAACTTCCCAGGGGTGAGAAATCCCAAATATTTCCCTCCTCTCCCTCCCTTGTCTTCCCTCCTCTCCCTTGTCCTTCCTCCTCTCCCTTGTTTTCCCTCCTCTCCCTCCCTTCTCTTTCCTCCTCTTCCTTTTCTTCCCTCCTCTCCCTCATCTTTCCCACTCTCCCTCCCTCGTTGTTCCTCCTCTCCCTCCCCTCTTTTCCTTCCTCTCTCTCCAATATTTTTCCTCCTCTCCCTCCCTTGTTTTTCCTCCTCTCCCTCCCTTGTCCTTCCTCCTTTCCCTCCCTTATTTTCCCTCCTCTCCCTCCAATATTTTTCCTCCTCTCCCTCTCGTCTTTCCTCCTCTTCCTTGTCCTTCCTCCTCTCCCTTGTCTTCCTTCCTCCTCTCCCTTGTCTTCCCTCCTCTCCCTCCCTTGTCCTTCCTTGTCTCCCTTGTTTTTCCTCCTCTCCCTCCATTATTTTCCCTCCTCTCCCTCCCTTCTTTTCCCTCCTCTCCCTCGTCTTCCCTCCTCTCCCTCGTCTTCCCTCCTCTCCCTC